CGTTAACACCTGGCGTCCCTGGCGTCCCAATACACGGATGTCTGTCAAGCCTGGGAACAGCCTAAACAAGAACATGCGGCAAAGGCTCTTCTCCTGCTTGCGGCGTTGCTTCTCACCAGGCTGGCACAAATGGCAGAAGAGACATGTTCTGCCGCTTGCGCAGCCTTTTTTGTGAAAGAAGACGCAGGGCTTGCACTCCCCGGTCGCATGGCCTCCTGAGCCGATACTTGGCAGCATGGCCGAGCCAAGAATTACCTGCGGTACGGGTGGCATCGATGGCACAGGCTTGGGCTGAAAGGGGTTTAGTGCCTCTGGCATGGGAGTCATGGGAGTCATTGGGATGCCGAAGCTCCGAGGGACGGGTGGCACTGCATAGTATGTTGTGCTGTGTGCGCTGTGTGCGGCACGTTGGACTGATGGAGGTTGGAAAGGCACCGCGCGACCGGAGAGCCGAGTTCGAGAAGCATTCTGCTGCAACTCGTCCCCACAGTCCTTGTCAGTACCCGGGCTCCTGCTCGCACGTGGGCTCACTTCGGGAGTACTTGGAAGCCAAGCAGTCTCAGCACTTTCGCTTTCATCCTTCTCCTTGTCAGTACCTTCCGGGCTCCTTTTCGCCCTTGGGCTGACTTCGGGAGTGCTTGGCATGGGCTCAGCCTTCATGGGCTGGATGTCAACTTCGGGACAAGACTTCACTCGACGCATAGAGCCGCACCAGTCCTTGAGAGGCATGGAATCTTGCAGTTCCAAGAAGGTCTTGCGAACTGCAAAGTGGTTGGAGCTTGGTTCCATGACTCGCTTCAATTCCATCTGGTTCTGTGCCTCAGTCTTGGGGTCCACCTCAGGGTATGCCATGGCCATGTTCTCGAGTAGTTTTGAAACGAATAAATGGCGTAGCTAAGAGTTCTAGAGCTGCCAAAATGGCTGCTGCGGTGAGACATCTTTGGACAGAGCATCTGTTGGAATCACCAGCTGGGCAGACTCAGGCAAAACAGTTAGCAAAACAGCGCTGACGGACTGCTCTTGTTGTCACAAAACCAGCTTTGCACATCTTGAAAGCCAGGAAACTTTCTGACCATGGACAGTTGCGCATCCAAATCAGACGTTGCCCAGTCTTCCTTAGTTGAATCGCTGGACTTGAGCGCTAAACCAGAACGTTCAATCATCGTTTGCAAACCCTGGTCCAGCAAACTCAAAATGAGGTCCGAGGAGGCAATGCCCAATGCACAGATAGCCTACATGTTGACCCCCGTACACGCTATTCGAAACCTCCGGATTCTCGCTTGCTCCTAGCATCTGCCATGCACTGCACGAAGTGGCACAAAATCGGCACCGCTTCCTCGACACCACCTGCACAATTTTGGGCTTGCCCGAGAATGGGCAGCTAACGCTTACTGGTTGACCACGAAGCTACGTTGCAATCAACAACGCCTCTTCGACATTCGCGGGCTCTGCAGTCTTCACCAGCAGGATCACACTTTGCCTTGGGCATGCAAAAAAGGTCCTGCTCTGGAAGCATTGATACAGCTGGGTCGGGAGCAACCTCTGAAAACAACTACTGCTGGGGTCGCAAATGAGCAACAGGCTCACCACGGCCGACCGCGGAAAAAACCTCGCTACTTATAATGTTAGGCTTATCAACCCATTGCTGCATACATCTTCAGCATCTATGGTCCGTGGGGCAGCTGTGCTGCTTCTCTGCTTGTAATGGCCGCTGTCTGGGTGTTGGTGATAGCAAGGTGACATGGTAGCAATGGCACAGGGAAGTAGCAGCAACTGCGGCAATGACGCCAGCATCGTGATGATAGCAGCAGCAGCAGCAGCAGCAGCAGCCGCCATGGTAGAGTGGCCGCATGGCAGGGCAAGCTTGACAGTTCGTACTTATTTGCAGCAGGAAATTCGAAAACTGGTTAACATCACCACCACAACAATAACGACAGTCGATGACAGTAGATATATGAGTTAGGAGGACCCCGCACTCTGGTAAAGTACGAGTTGAAGAGGGCCCCAATGTAATCCTTACTATCCCGTACAGTCACTATTACTGGCTGAGGGGTCCACCTAATGTATGAGCAGGGAGGAGAGCCCTTGATCAACATTGCTCAATATTCCCGAGGCTGGTGGCCTAAACCCTAAACCCCTAAACCCTAAACCCCTCTCTCTCTCTCTCTCTCTCTCACACACCCTAAACCCCTAAACACTAAATCCTACAACCCCGTAACCCCTAAACGCTAAACGAGGGCAGCAGGCCCAGACCTGACCCTGCCTTTGCCTATTAGCAAACATGAGCTATTCGTCTAAACTCCTAGCATCCCATTAGTAACCCCCAGTATAGGATTTAGGGTTCAGGGTCTAAACTCCTTAATAACCCCTAGTATAGGGTTTGGGGTTTAGGATTGAGGGTCTTAACTTCTACTATCCCCCTTAACAGCCCCTAGCATGGGGTTTAGGGTTTAGGGTTTTGGGTTTAGTCTAAACTCCTAGTATCCCCCTTAATGACCCTATAATAGCCCTCATATATAGCCCCCCTTAAAGGAGTTTAGACTACAGCTCACATGGTCACTGCTACGCTCATCACAGAATTGCCCTTCTGCTGTCCATGCCTGGATAGCCAGATGCACGCACCGCTCGTGGGAATCAGCAGGACGTTTCAAGTAGGCGAGGCCTTCAGGGTGATAGCGAAAGCTATCGGAAACGTCTATAGGATCTGAAATTGCTGCACTCCCCGTACCAAACCCCCGCTCACGGCAATTCATTTGCTAGACTTTCACCACAACGCGAAGCGCCTGTAAGGGCAAAGTGTAGCAGTCCCTTCCTTATGTTTCACACGCACATGGGAACAGCCAGTCCTATGCATCGCTGCTCAGGGGCTTAGGGTTTAGGGTTGTGAAAAATCAATCTCAGAGTCCCAGCGTGCCAAGTATAAACTTATCGGGATATGCACCCCCAATAATGGACAATCAATTCGAGAACCCAATGGAGAATGAAATGGAAACTGGGATTCAGTAGGGGTTTATAGGGCTTAGGGCTTCCCGAAATTCAGCGTACCTTTTCTGGGGTTGCCATAATACGTGATTTAGGAAATTAAGGTGTATATTGGGACCCCCGTAGTGAGGGAAACTCCCCTGTAAACCGTTGAGCTTGAGGCATCATCAGCTGTCAGCATCAAGACAAGCAAGGCAATTTAGCCAATTCGGTGGCAATCCTATAAATCAACAACAATAAGCAGGCATATTACCCCTTTTGCTGCAGGCTTGCTGAGAAATCCTAAACCCTAAACTGCGTCTTATCCAAAATGCCAACTTTAGTCAGACATAGACTCTAGCCTGGTTATTCCTTGAGTTTTCCCCAGGGTGCAGCAATCCCCGAACTTCCAGCCTAAACCCTAAACCCTAAAACCCTAACCCTAAACCAAGTGCATCAGAGAATCTCCTTGTTGTCACGTACTGCCTGCACCTTCTCATCACTGCAGGCCTTGTGGCAACGGAGAGGCTGTTCAGAGAGTTATAGCCGATAGCCCCCCTGAAGTACATAGAATGTGGGGTACAGTATATGGGGATCTTATTATGACATACCCAAAGCCATATTCTATCTACTTAACCATACATCCTGTTCCTAAGGGTTTAGGGTTTAGGGTCATTGGGTTTGGGGTTTCGGCTTAGGGTGATCCTGTGCATAAAGCTGAGAATCTTTTGAAAGCTGCAAGTGACCCTCCAATGTAGTTCCTTTTTGTTTGTTATGGTTTTTTGGTTAGGGCTCCTATTAGGACTACCAAAAAAGTACTACATTGGAGGGTCTAGGAAGCCACCTGCAGAAGCACTGAAAATGTTTCCCAGTTGCCCGTGAAGGCGAGCACCTTGTCTGACTTGGAAACCATTCATATAGGGATAATGGAAAAGAAAATGGAAACTACTATAATGGTTTATGTAGGGTTTAATATAGGGTTATAGGGGTGGTTGTCAAAATTATGGTACCCATTAGGGTAATATTAGGGTTATATTGGGGTTATATGGGGGGCAATGGAAAAGAAAATGGAAACTACTATAATGGGTTCTATGGGTGGTTTTCAAAATTCTGGTCCCTTTTTGGATCCCTCTTATAATACGGAACCTAATATTTAGGGTACCCAAAAAGGGGCCATAATTTTGCAAACCACCCATATATACAGCTCAGCATGCCATGGAGCAAGCTTTTAATCAGCAGATGGTCAGTCTCAATGACGGATGCAGGATCTGGCTCCATGCTGCGACATCACTGTAGCAATGACACTAACCGGGTTGGCCCCCAAAACCCTTTGAAAAATATAGTAATTATATAGGGCCCCCTATTAAAGCCATTAGGGAAAATATTAAATATCCCAGGGGCCTACCCAGACTAATCGCTTCAAATAATAGCCACGCGTTCGAGAGGTCCAGATGCGTGCAATGACAACATGGGCAGAACAAAAAACGAAGCTCATCAGCGGCTGTGGCGCAATCAGGTCGTTGTCCTGTACCTTTCGCAAGTATGCCGCTTGGAAGACAGCTTAGTATTACTATTATTACTATTCTTCTATTATCACTATTGGATGGGCAAAACGTGCTCCAGTTGCTGAATCCACGAATTGAAAAATGAGGGTTTCCCAAAATTAGGGGTGCCTTTTTGGGGGTCCCGAAAAAAGGATTCCAATATTTTGGGGTCCATATTGGGGTCCCCCTATTTTGGGAAACTACCACATGAGGTCCGTGCACATGCTCCGCGCTGGAGCAAGAAGGCGGAGGCCTCCAGAGCGGGAAGTCGAAGTGGCAAAGAGCAGCGACACGATACTCATGTGTTTCCTCACTACTCCCCTCTATACTAACCCCCCCTAGGTTCCCCCTTAATTAACCTGAATTTGACCTAATTAAGCCCGAACCTAGGGGAAGGGCGGGGTAGTATAGACGGGGGTAGTAGGGGAACCCATGAGGTACCCTTTAAAGTGTCCACAGAATGATTAAACCCGAAATGCTGATTATGGAAGGCGCCTCTTTACGCGCCCGGAGCGCGGCCCAAGTTAGGGCGGTCCAGCCAAGAGGATTGCGTGTCTCCAACATGGCCTGCAGGTCAAGGGTTTAGGGTTTAGGGGTTGGATTTAAGGTTTATAGGATTTAGGTTTTAAACTTTAGGCTTTAAGGGCTAGGTTTTGGGGTTTGGGATCTATAGGATTTAGGTTTAAAGGTTTAGGATTCAGGGTTTACGGTTTAGGGCCTGCAGGCCAAGGATACTCATTCTGGCGGGCGAGGCGCTGTTGGGTTTAAAAGCTACTGCTACAGAAGATTGGGGTATATGAGCTATAGTCTAAACTCCTAGCATGCCCCTTAGTAACCTCTGTGATCCTCCAATATATAATAATCCGCTTCCTAACCCCTTTCGGGAGTTTAGACTACAGTACATGTGGTTAGGGCACTAGTATAATATATTCGGCTATGTATAGGGATATACAAGGATTTGGGAGGCAGAAGGCAAGCTTTCAAATTTCATGCTGTACAGTAGCATCTGCCAGGTGTCTGCTTTCAGGGCTTGTCAAACACGCGTCAACTCCTGACCCTCCGCCTACCTTCGCCTCAAGCAAAACCTCGCACGTGCCCGGCGAGCCTCCTGGGAAGCTTCTAGTTGCAAGGAACTGCTGATTCAACTTGCTTAGCCCTTCTGCGTGCAGCAATCTAACCCTGAACCCTATAGACCCCCGTAAGTAGATAGAATATGGCTTAAGGTATATCATAATAAGATCCCCATATACCTCATATTCCATGTACTGAGGGGGGACTATAAACCCTAAACCCAGGGAAAGTCCTGAAGCTGCAAACATCAGAGGAGTAACGCCAAGTTCGTCTGCTTGTTCCGCCAGGGCCGGGCGAAGGCCAAGGAGGCGACGCACCTCCTTAGAGGAGCGCGAACGAGCCTATTGTAGACCCCTCATCAAAACAAAACCCTCCGTTTAAGGGCCTTAATATTAGGATCCCTGTTATATACCCCATTAAGGGGGTTTATTAATCACGGGTCTGGGTTACCTCCCAACTTGCTGAGATAACATATAAAATATCTACTATAATATAATATAATATGATATAACATAATGTAATATGATATAATATAATATAATATGATATAATATAATGTAATATGATATAATTATAATATATATTATATAATAAATATATATATATATTATATGATATATCTGAAACATCAACAGCGCACCTCAAGGTCGCCCAGCTCGCAGGCTGCTGCGAAGGCGCTGCGCACCCTGGGGCGAGGCCCAGCTTGGCCTGGGCAGGGGACAGTAGCTAACGCTCCCCAGTATATTGGAGTTTAGGGTTTAGGGTTTAGGGTTTAGGGTTTGGGGTTGTATTGGGATAATGGAAATGAAAATGGAAACTATAGGAATTATAGGGATTATATAGGGTGTATATCTCGCTCAAAGAAGCATTTAGCAGCTATGTCCTCCACGCCCTCGTCCATCTAGGATTGCAGAGAGCTCCTCATAGGCTGCCTGCTTGATCTCGTGGGCAGTTCACACAATTGGCATAACAGTCCATTTTATGAATTCGGGGTTCGAGCAAAAGGTTGACTTTTTCGGATTTCCTCTTGCTCGCGAAGCCCTTGCACAAATGTGCTCGCCCACCATCCGCGGTTATTCACTGCAAATCCGCCACCCAAGCCCCTCCCAGTCACGAATCATGCAGTCTGCAAAGCTTGAAGAAAGTGGGGTTCCCCCCCCACTACAACACAAGTCACCCACCCCACCGGCGAGGGGGTCACCCTTTTGCTGTTGCTGAGCCTCCAAAAACACAACAGCCACACGAAAATGGCTTCCACTTGACAGGGCGTTGTGCTCATTTTTGAACCTCCAGAAGATGGAATTGGGGATTCTCACCCAGTGAGGGCTCTAAAATCTGGAAAATCTTGAAAGTGTGGGAATCTCACCAACAAGGGAATTGCTGTCAAACAGTATTCAAGCAACCCAAAACTTGAACATAACTTCCCCCCACCGAAAGACCCCCTACCTGCAAAGGAGTCACAATCTATTTAGCTGCCAAAAAGCTTCAAAACGTCACCCCAAACCCTAAGTCCGAACAGCGTCTTCGTTTCCATGTTATCTCACCTTTAGTTTCCATTTGATTTTCCCTTTTCCTGTCCATTTGACGCTTCATGCCCTCCACCAGCATGACAATTTTGCAGCTTTGAAAATCCGAGTCCCACCGAACGACACTTCATGTGCAAAGGAAATCGTCATTCTGCAGATGAAGGTTGCCTCACAAAGGGCATTCGTGCTGTCGACAGCTTCAGCTGCCTAAAACTGATGGCAATCACCACCAGCCCACCCTCAAAACACACCTGCCCTTTAGTGCAGAAATCCATGGTGCGACCGAACCCCAGGCTAAGGTTCAGCATGCGTACTAATGTTTAGGGCTTAGGTTTTCTTTTACAGCGTTTTAGGGTTAAGGGGACCAACCCTGAACCCTAAACCCTGGGTGGTATCCTTGCTCCATGACCCTCAATGAATTCTTTGCTCCATGAGCCTCAACGAATTCTTTTCAGGTAGGCTACGAAGGAGAGATCCTGGAAACTTTTAGTTTGCTAGGCGCACGCATAAGCAGAATCCTACTTGAACAAAGGGGACCTACGCATGGTTAAAACATGGCAACATGTATCCCTAAACCCTAAACCCCTCAACCCTAAATCCTTACATCCTCAATCCCTTGTGCCGATTGGAACCATGGCTTGCGTCAGAAACATATGTGGACCCCAGTGAGCCTATACATATGTAACATGCAAGGGCCTCCAGACTGGGACCGACACGTATACCTCTCTACCCATTTAGTCGCGGAACAAAATTCATGCTTTCTTTGCCTCAAAAAAGAACCTCTAACACATTGTTCAAGCCTTTTTTTCGGTTTGCAAAATGGACCCTTCAGTTCGATTTTGGCATCGACCAGCCTCACCAATGTTGATGTTCTCACGAGCGAGGGACTGAACACTGGACGTCGGCACGAATGACATGGGCACTGAAATATACTACATGTACTGTGGCAATTGGGGGAGTTGGTGCCCCATATTCACATTGACGCTTTGGGTCATGAAATCATTGGCACAGGCACGAACAGCCACTGAGTGTGGCACCGATGACAAGCAAGGAACTGGCTGACTGAAGGAAATCTCTTTGATTTCCAGGAAGCTTGCTTAGCGTCTCATATCTTCGGAAGCCCTAAACCCCAAGCCCCATATAAACATATATATGTATGTGCGTGTTTATATGTGTATATATATACACATATATTTGGTTGTTTGTATGTATACCCCAAACCCTATACTCCAAACCCTGTGCCTGGATTGCTTGGAACAGCTCTGTGGCTTCTCGGTCTTCAGAGCCTCAAGTAGCGCTGCAACTGTAGCCAAATCCAGCAAATTCCGTAACCACCTGCTTGGGGGTGAGGGTGTCTCAGTGAGGGGGCGCGCGCTTGTGCTGGAAGCACCCAGGCGCGCACCCTGACCTGCATGAGCCCAACCCCGCTGGCGCCGGGCAACCCCGCTGGCGCCGGGCAAGTGCAAGCTTTGGGCTGGTCTGGCTCGAGGCCTCTTGCGCTTCTTGAGATTGAGCCTTGCCTGGAAGCCTTCAAGACTAGGCTTTCAAAGATTTGCTGGCAGAGAGGGCCTGAGCAGGGCCTGAGGGGGGCCTGGGAAGCTCACTCGAGAAGCTAAAGAAGGTTGCGTCGCTATGGGGGAAGGTTTGGGGTGCCTTATTCTAAGGGCGACCTGACGGGTTACTCGCCAGCAGCCTGCCGGGCGCAGCTGCCTGCGGAACTGGGAGCTCTGTCGCCGCCCGCAGGGCTTTAGGGTTTAGGGCTTCAGAGCTGCCTCGCCTGCCGGCTTCAGCGCTTTCGCCCTGCTCGACGGCAGCGTGCTCACTCAGTGCAGGGATGACAGTATTTTGGGGGTCTATAATTTGGTCCACTATCTATGGTTACCGCTTGAGCTATAGTCTAAATTCCTAGCTAGTAGTCCCTATACAACTCCCTCTAAGGAGTTTAGACCCTAAGCCCTAAATCCTGAACCCTAAATCCTAAACCCTGAAACTTCTATAACCCCCTATAATTTTATGGCTCAGCTCACTACCGGCCTGACCCTTTTTGCGGAAACCGGCTCGCGTTCACCTGCAACAATCATTACTTTGCACTTACTGTTGGTTAAGGCTTCGGGTTTAGGTTTTGGGTTTAGGACTTAGGGGTTAGGGTTTGGGGGTTATTAATGAAGAATGAAGGAGTATAATCCCTATAAAGCCCCTATGCAAATATACATTGCACTTGCAAGATAATCCGTATAAATCCCCTACGCAAATATGCTTTCTCTTGCTGGTGGCTAACAAGGAATAAGGGAACATAATCCACGCATAACCCTTATGCAAATATATTTCACACTTCCTGGTGGTTAATAGGGAATGAGGGAATATAATCCCTAGAAAACCCCTATGCAAACATTGCCTTCTTCCCTACCTTGAACCCAAAACCCCAAACCCCAGGCCTTGTCAGGGTGATAGCGGAGGGCCAGCTGCAAATACTTCCGTCGCAGCTGGATGCCATCTCGCCGCACGTCTGCCGGAAAGAACTCCATGGCCGTCTCATGGGCGCAACACGTGTTTGCTTGCTCTGCTGTCAATCTGTTCCCACCGTCTGTTCACTAAATCTTCTCTCTGTACCTTGGCCAAGGTCACAATGTTCTGCTCACGAGCAGCCAAACCAACAGAAAACAGAGACTCGCTCCTATAAGGAAAAGAATGTTTTGCGTCAAGCATCTGATGCTTTCTGGCCCCTGGCGCGCCATGCGGCAAATGCAAGCTACAGACAATTGTATGCGGGCAAGACCTCACCCGCAGCATACTTGAAGACCCTGGTACAGAAGTCAGTGCTGCACAGCTTCAGAACATCACTTCTTCAGGGCACTGTCTCGAAAAGATGCCAGGCAGACAAAACACTGCCGCCCACCCTCTTTTGCACACTTTTTCTCCATCTTCACTGCATCACGTCACTGACATCGTCAATTCTGACAACAGCCATAAGTACAGTAAATTGACGAACACTGAACTGGCCATTGTGGCACATGGCCAGACATTTTATGATGCCTCTGCAAACTTTCTGCATTCCTTAGCCTTGGAATTGGGCAGACTCACCAAGCCCACACGAGCAAATGCACTTAAACATCCCAAACGCTGGGATCATGTAACCGTATATGGGCCAGAATCTACTAAGGGGGTTTGGTGTTTAGGGATACTAGGAGTTTAGACTATGGCTCATATCAGCACAGGCTGCCTCTGCCTCTGTCGACTGAAGGTACTAAACCCCTAAACTTTTGCGTGCGCTTGGCAGACTCCTGATGCTACCATCACTTCATGGGTCGCCCCATGCATCACTGGGTGGCTGGGTTGCTATTAAGGAACTTAAGTTACCAAAATGCGTGTATATATATATATATAAGTCAGAGTTCCTTAACAGCAAGCCAGGTGAAACTCCAGCACTCAAGTCACCTGCACCCAACAATCATGGCAAGGCAGCTCTCTCAAGATCACAGTCACGGCTCCAAGGGTCATGACTTTCCCAGAGTATAGTTGCCCTTCAGTAGATAGAATATGGCTTTGGGTATATTATAATCAGATCCCGATATACCCCATATTCTATCTACTTAAGGGGGACTACATCCGTGTCGCATTGCAAAGTCCGCGACAGAATTCCGCGCACCCCGCACTTCACTAATCTCCTCCGGATCTGCTGAGACAATACCTACCCAACAACAGGCCATGCGGCTACGTGTTACAAGCTCAAGCGAATCGCCCATGCTGATCGAAAGCATGCCGTCATCTCATTAAGGCCCCCTCCCCCGTGGTGCGTGCACAGCAGTTACGTGGGTGATTTCTCGGTTCTGGTGCATCCCCTGACACTCTGCAGGGGCTGTGCCTCTGCAGCGTAGATTCCCGGAGATCTTTTACATTTAGTTCACCCTGAGCCCTAAATCCGAAACTACGGAAATCCTCTCACCAAACGAAAACCCAATGCTGCGAGAAGGATACCCCGGCTGTTCCGAAGGACACGGCAAGATTGGGGACCATCCACGTGACTGTAATCCCCCCAGGCCTAAACCAAAAATAATATCATTTGATGAACCATTAGGGTTATACAAAAATAATCAAAATACACATACCTGAGGAGACTGCACTTGAACTGGCCGACATTACAAGAACCCCTTGGTTTGCTACGGAGCGCGCCCTAAGCTCCTA